CTTCTGTACACACTGTGGAAGGACTTTAGTATATGCTTTGTACATTGTCAATGCTGTCCTAACTTCTACTAAATCATAAAATTTAAAGTATGAAATGTGATAAATATGTCATTTGTTGGATGACAATAATCTAATGCATTTATAGCTTTCTTCTGAAGCATATAAATAGGTTTTGTATTGGTTTTACAGGAATTTCCCCAAATTTCCACACAGTAAGTTATGTTTGGAAGTATTAAACAACAATCTAGCATAGAGTATATAATGTTTTTAAATTTATAAAATGTTTTGTTTTAATATTGCAACAGTTTTTGACATTTTAGCATTTACATTTTCAATATGACCTTTCCAATGCTTTTTGTAATCAAAAAATTAATTTCATACTGTCTATTTCAGTATTATCTTCAGTTTCACATCATTTTTATTCCTTTATTACTAAATACAATATATTTTGTTTTATCGTGATCCAGTAATAGTTAATTTTTGTCACACCAATTCTTTATTACCTTTAATTCTATTTCCATTGTATCCAGAATGTAGTATCATCAGCAAACCAGGCGAATGAAAGTAATATAGATACATTGCAAAGATCATTTATATAAAGTAAAAAAAAAAGTTTTGGACCCAGTACCGACCCTTGTGGTACTCCACAGGTTACATTCAGTAAATTAGAAATTAGTAAATTTTTCTTTCACTTCACAATTTTGTGCTTCTGTTTGTGGGTCTAGCACATAAAATCCAAATAAAATACTTTAGAGTTACTCAACATGTTAAAATGTAGGAAAGTTTAAGGGGCTTAAACACTTTTTCAAGGTCCTATCACTGAACTTTGCTTTTTTTATGCTTTTGCCAACAAGCGAAGACAGTTTCAGCTACAAGATCAAATTGGGAAAACACACTAACCGGGCAATGATCCTTTTGTGTATCCGTTGATGGTGTATTTGACATGGTTGTCTGGGTAATAACCATTTGGGCTGTATATACTTTCTTTCTCATCAAAAACTCCAAAGAGAAACACAAACTCCTGGTCATGGTCAACCTGTCTTCTCGATTGATCAAGGCTGTCTGCCAAGCAGTGGAACAAAAGATCAAAGTTAAATCATGTCAAAACAGTACATTTATGCATCTGATTAAAAAGGCAACACTCACCAGGCTTACAAATGAGCAGCGCACCAATGAGRCCAGAGTTGTAGTCCTGCACCACATTTTGATGGGAGATGTAAGTGTAGGTGAGACAGGTGGGGTCATCGGGCAGAGGTGAAACATCTGGGGTCACCTCCCAGTAGTAAACATGCTCACCGTTAGGACGAACCATATCATCCTCTTTTTCTTTTAGAGACGTGTTATCAAAGTAATTGGCCCCTGTAAAATAAAGGAATCAGGTTTGGTTGGGGGGAAACTATCAGATTCATTTTCTGTGTAAATATATGAAGCAATTACTCATAATTTTGAATGATGGAATTCCTCAAGATTATTGCTTTCATCTGCWGTTAAACTTTTGCATTAAATTCATATTAAGAAGCGATTTTTTTTTCAGTTTTCTAAACATGTCACAGTCTTTTGTAAAAAAAAAAAGGAGGCAGTGATTTCCAAAGCTGTTGCAACACTTCCTGTTGGACTTCAGAACAGCCTGCTTTGATGCACTGCTGGTCCTGGTTAATATTTTAGAGCAGGACAAACACTTTTGTTTGTTGTGTTGGTTAATGTTTGTGTAGGAACAGTCCACCAGCTGGGTTACCAGGCACTCACCCTCTGACTGTTTSCCATAAGCCACACCATGTGGGTGCATGCTGTACGTTCCACTGGCCATGTTTCTGAACGTGACCACGATGGTCTCCCCCTGCTCRGCTCGCAGTGTGGGTCCGAGCAAACCTGCAGAGAAACAGGCTGAACTTTGTGTAATAACAGTCAAAGTCACAACAGTTCTGCACTTTGGTGCATCAACACGACCCRCTGGAACAAAACACAACTGATTCAGTCTTAAAGAACAGTTATTTTTGATCTGACAGACCTTATTTATGAACATGGACTGTTCTTGTAAAGCACTTCTCTGTCCAACCAGGACACTCAAAGCCCTTCACACAACACTCCGTTACAAAGCTAACRCATGGACACTGATCAGTGTTAATCACATTCATACACTGATGGGACACAACAACTGAGACAGAACCAGCAACTTACTGTTTCCAAC